CGGAGCGTGAGTGGAGGAGGGGCAGAAAGAGAGGGAGACATAGAATCTGAAACGGGCACCAGGCTCTGAGCTGTCTGCACAGAGCCCAACATGGAGTTCGAACTCACGAACCCTGAGATCATGATCTGAGCTGAAGTCGGTCACTTAACCGACTGAGCCACTCAGGCCGCCCACTCAGGTCATAATCTTGTGGTTTGTGGGTTTGAGCCCTGCATCAGGCTCTGTGCTGATAGCTCAGAGCCTGGACCTGCTTCAGATTCTGTGTCTCCTTCTCTCTCTCTGCTCCTCCCCCATTCACGTTCTGTTTCTCAAAAATGAATAAATGTTAAAAAATGTTTTTTTAAACACTAATAGAAACTGATAAACAGAAAAAATGTGGTATATCAGCATAATGGGGTATTTAGCAATAAAAATAGCTAGCTAGCATATGCAGGACCTTCCAGACATTATGCTAACTGGAAAAAAAAAACCAGACCCTAAAGATCTCATTATGTATGATTCCATGGATAGGAAATGTCCAGAAGAATTAAATTTACAGAAAGTAGATTAGTGGTTGCCTGGGAGCTGGGAGTGAGTGCAAACAAGCATGAGGGACCTTTCAGAAGTGATGAAGTGTCCTAAAAATTGTACGTGGTAGATTCACTAAAACAGAGTAAATCACTGTTAATTTACTAAAAAGCCATTGAACCGTACACTTAAAATGTTATGATCTGCATATTATACCTCAATAGAGCTGCTGCAGATTTTTTTAAGTTTATTTATTTATTTTGAGAAAGACAGTGAGCAGGGGAAGGGCAGAGAGGCAGTGGGGGCAGGGGTGAGGGGAGTACCAAGCAGGCTTCTTACTAATAGAAGCGCAGAGCCTGCTGTGGAGCTCAAACTCCCCAACTGAGAGACCATGACCAGAATGGAAGCTGGACACTTAACCAACTGAGCCACCAGGTGCCCCTAGATTTGTTTTTCAAAGGAGGAAAAGGGTGGGGAGTGCCCAGTGGGGAAGTTCTCGAATGTCCACATTCCCCTGTCCCGGAGCACAGCCCGCAGGGACTCATTCAGGCCACAAGTACAACTTCTCAGCAAGAAGTCCAAACCACGCAGGCCCCAGCCAGCCAGGGCCGCCTGGTGCTGGAGTCAGTCACCCAGACCCCCACAAGCACCCTGGGCAGACTCTGCATCACTGTTCAGGGCAGGAGGGCTCCAGGCATCCAGGGCAGACAGCCGTGGAAGTTCTGGATGCTGAGGGACCAGGTGCTAGTGACCACAGGCCTGCCTAAGGAAATAAAGCCCGGGGATCAGGGCTGTGATGGGGGCCACAATGCGTTCAGAGCTGATGGCCAACCATGAGACATCTTGGCCAGACCTTAAGCTGGTTCCTGGTTTCAAGAAACACTGACCATCAGCCTTGCTGAGTTCAAAGGTCACTCGTGCAAAGAACTGAGTCACTCTCGGATGGTGTTTTCACACCGAGTTGGGAAATGCTGCTGCTGGGGAAATCTCAACGGGCTGTGTGCACTCTTGCCTCAGTCAGTGACAGGAGAGGGTGGAAAGCAGCCCCTAAGGAGGAAGCCCAGGCAGCAGCTTTCTGCCCGGAGAGACAGAGCCTACACGGGGCCAGAGACTCAAAGGGGCCCGGGGCCATGAAGGGGCCCTCTGGGCACTCAGACAAAGCTGGGTAGCAGGAATGTGCTTCCTGTCACTTCAAAGTCACAGGGACCACCAGAAAGTGAAGCTCATAACGGCAGGTGGCAGGACGCCAGAGCTTGCTCAGTCCGCTCCCCCAGTCCTGCTCCTGAGGGGTTGAAAAAACCCAGTTTGAAAAAACCACCAAACCAAGGACTTCTCCTTTAAAGATGGGGAAACTTCCCTGGGATGGGAAAGGCCTCTCTGACAAGGGCACAGATGCTCAGAACAAAGCCAGGGGTATGTTCCTGTCTCCTTGTGCCCACCAGCCATGTCTGGCCAGACACTGTATTCCCAGGTATCCCTCCCAACACTGTGGGTCAGAGCCCCCAGGGATTCCCTACAGCATAGCTCATCCCCCGCTGCCCCCCTTCTTCAGGCCTAATTCCAAAGGTGTCCTCAGACAACACTCAGCGCTATTTGGATGACGCCACAGCCCAGAGCCCCGGTCAGTGAGAACTACAAAGTCTTCCTCACCAGCCTCAGTAGCCAGGCCACTCCTGACAAGGCCACCGGCTTTCACTTTTTTAAAGCCTCGATGAGCTGGTCCCCTGCCACACTTCCCTCAGCATGTGCAGGGACAGGACCCCAGAGAAGCCTGGCCATTGTTGAAGCTGCCTTCACAAAGAGCCCTCTGTGAGGCTCTGTCCCTCAACGCCTCTGACACAGAGGCCAGTGTCCTTACCTCCTGGGGCCTGGGGATCTGACATGGGGTCAGCGATGGCACAGGGATGGGAAAGCTGGGGGTGGGGGGCATGAAAAGACCTGGGCAAAGCGTTGTTTCTCCCCCAGGGCACAAGCTCCCCAGAACAGGGGTGTCCTGAAGGGATGGTCACTCAGGCTGAGGCTGCTGCCCAGACTGGGCCAGGGCCGCACTCCCTGTGGGATGCGGGTAGGGCCTCAAGGTGAACATCCAGGGACCGGAACACTGCCCTGACCTCGAGGCCTCTGTTGCCATCTTTTGTGCGCACACAGAGCTCAGCACACACCCTCAAACACCCCCCGTGACGGGGGCTGTGTAGCTGTGTTACTTCCTTCTGAAAAAGACGTGTTCTCTCAGTCTCTCCTGCGTCTTTACACACTCACAAACACAGGAATCATGTCTACTACGCTCTTTTTCCTTTTGGCAACTGGACACTTTTTGAGCTCAAGGAGTTCCTCCAAAAGGCATTACAATGTAAACTTGGGTATATCGCTCAGTGCCACATATTGTATCTTCTTCCTGCAGGTGTTTAACTATGCAACAGAGACCCAGGAGACCCGCCGATCCTTTTAGACTGACTGACATCTGCCATCACTGCACCTGATCTTCCCTTTTCCAACTTCCCTCTGGGAACCCCCTCCCAGTATAATGTTATTTCATTTCTAAACTGACTTGACTGACACCTGCCATTACTGCATCTAACCTTCTCCTTTCCCCAACTTCCGTTCTCCAGCCTGGCATTCCCCGCCAGCCCTGTTAGTTTTCCTATCAACACAAGCCCCTCACTGGGCAGCACAGAATAGCCAGCCACCAATGACCAGCTTGGGCAACTCACTTAACATTCTAGCCTCAGGTTCCTCATCTGTAAAGTGTGAAGGTAATTGCATCTACCTCATACGGTTATTCTCGAAATGCATGAGACAATATTAGCGATAAAGGATGCTCTGTGTCACGCCAGGGATACCTATTTGGGTGCAGCTAGCCCTAGCCCTGTAACACTACTTAGTCGAGTAACTGCTGTCTCTCCAGCTAGATCCGCAAGAGCCTGGCTAGACTGGTCCTAGCACACAGTAGGGTTCAATACGGCCCTGCAGGGTGAATGACCCCGCTGAAACGGTCAAGGGAAGGAGACCTAATGGTACCCAGCAAACAAGCAACACAAGGTGTGCAGACCTACTGTGTGTTGGGCTGCGAGTAAGCCGTATCCTTGCCTAGGCAAGGGATGCCACACAGAATGGGTAAGTCTGACATAAACCTGATAGAAATAATGGAACCAATGCACGGGGGGCAGGGGAAGCTGCCCACCAGGGGAGGTCTAATCCCTTCTGAGACTGGATATCTGGAGGGATAAAAGGTGAGTGAGTACCCATCCTGAAAGTCAAAAGGAATTTACTCATTAATGTATCACACTGGCCAGAAGCTAGAATTTTGTGATCTAAGCACACAGCTTGGTTGGAGAGATTCCTGGAAAATCACCCCTACCCGACCCTCAAGATCAACTTCATCAATTCAGCACAAGGCAGTCTCTGCAGCCTCGAGCCAGGCTCCAGGGGAGCCGCTGGAATCCTTGAGACCACGCAGTGCAGAGCTACCATTGTTCCCATTTTACAGAGTGAGAAACTCACTGGCCCACCCCCTCAACGACCTCACTGACCGCCTTCAGCGAGCACAGCGTCCTGTTATTATCACTGTCCCTGCTACCTTGGGGAGGCGGCTCCCTGGGATCAGCAGCAGCCTTTCAGCACCTTCTCGGCCGGAAAGGCTGGCGGGAAAGGATGTTGGGGGATGGGCTTCCCGCCCCTGCCTCTGGCGGCTGGCCATGCCCTGGGACCTTGTCCTCAATCCTCGGTTCTCTCAGCCTTCCAAGTCTCCCCTCCCCGTCCCTCCCGCCTCCAGCCCGCAGGTCACGTCTTAGACCTCCCCTGCACGCCGCGCGCCGGGGTTCTGCATCCACGTGGCCACTTTCTCCCCACTCTGCATCTCAGCAGACCCCTGCTCCAGAATCAGACCCAAAAGCAAGGGTGGCGTGAAGAGGCGAAGGGAAGGGTCGTGTGAGGCGAAGAGAGGGCCCGGCCCCACTCACCCTGCAAAACGAAGGGTTAAAACAGAGGCTCTCGCGAAGGGCAGCTTGCATTTCAATTGCAGCTCTCGCCGTGTGTCACCTTGAGCAACTGACTCAAACTCGGGGCCTCGGTTTCCCTATCCGCAAGGTGGAACGTTGGCGGTGGGGCCCACACAGGGCCGCGCGCGCCGAGCGCATCGCACAGGGCTGGGCTCTCGGCTACAGCGCCACAATAGTGGCCCTCCCGGCTCAGGATTCCCGAGCGCAGTCCCCGCGCCGCGGAGCAGCGAGGGAGGCGGCGCCCGGCGAGGGGCAGGGCCGGCCCGAGACGCAGCGGGAGCCGCGGCCCACCGCATGGAAGCCGGTGCGAGAGCCCGCGCCGCGGCGGAAGGCGCCTCCGGCCCGGGCCCTGCGAGGGGCGCGCCTCCGCCCTCTGACCGAGCCCCGGCCGTCTCCCTCGAGGAGGCTTCGTGCAGCGCGACACGGAGCCGGGGCGCCCACAGGTACCGCGGCCTCCGGAACGGCGCCCTCCCCGGCCACGCGTCTGGCACTCACCCCGAGCCGGCCGCCGTGGTCGCCTGGATGGAGCTGATGCGCAGGCGATTGGCCGTGTCCTTCAGGGCCTGCAGCTTCTGCTGGTCAGGCTTATGGTAGCCCTCCATGGCGCGGCCGGCCTGGCAGGCGGATGCGGCGGACGAGGACGCGAAGACTCAAGGGCTGCACTGCTGCTCCAGCGGCGACTGGCAGCAGCCTAGGCCCGGCGCCGCGAGGGGGCGAGTTAAGACTTCCCGGACCCGCCCACGAGGGCGGGGCGCCGGCATCACCCCAGGCCGCTGTGCGGCGGAGGGCCTGCCTGGTCCCGCCCCCGCCACGCCCCCTAGCCTTCCGGCCCCCTTCCGGGAACCCCAGGCCGCTGTTGTCCCAGACTCCTGGGGACCCAGCCCCACTCTATCCACCTGCCTGACTCCCCGCTCCCCCTGCTCGGACCCAGACATTTGCTGGCAGCTTGGGGCTGCCAGGCTCCTGAAACACAACTGCCCTGCCGGAATTAACTATACACACAGGTAATAGTAATAACTCCAGGTTCTAGGCTTAGCTCAGTTTACCTGACTCACATCTTCACTGCAGGACGTTCAGTCTCCTTCCTCTACACAGCTCTGGGTGAAGTTGAGAGGGGAGGCCTCATTGGTAACCCATTTTACAGATGAGCAAATTGAGACCAGCCAAGATCACAGGGCTGGGGGATGCGAAGGTCTTTCCTAGCAGAATGACTCCGTCTACAAGATCCAGCCCCAGGGCTTTGGGGGCCTATAAAATGGAGATTATGAAAATGAGAATTAACAGTAGTAGTAATGATAGTACCAGCTGACATTAACTAAGAAATTACAAGTGGCAGGCCTTTCACAAATTATTAGGGCCTAAGGGCTGCAGGATCAGGGGGAGATATCACCAGGGTATATCATGGTCAGAGGCCTGGCAGAGTCTGATAAAAGAGGACATGACTTTAGGGGTGCCTGGGTGGCTGAGTCACTTAAGCATCTGATTTTGGCTCAGGTCATGATCTCGAGGTTCATGAGTTGGAGCCCTGGGTCAGGCCCTGTGCTGATGGCTAGAGCCTGGAGCCTGCTTCGGATTCTCTCTTTGTCTCTGTCTCTGTCTCTGTCTCTCTCTCTGAGCAACTCCCACCCCCCCCCCCCCCCCCGCCGCCTCAACTTGCACTCTCTTTCAAAATAACATAAATAACCATTAAAAGAGTTTTTAAAAAGAGGACATGACTTTGAAACCATTTGAGAGCTCTGTGTCTTACAACTCTATTTCCTTTAGAGCAGTGGTTTCCTATTCCAAACCTCAGTATCCCCATCTGCCTGATGGGACTAATCCTTGCCACTCTGCACCCACTCTGGTCTCTGATGAAGGCAGGAGACTCAATGAGGCTCTGGAGACCCAGTAGTGATGGAGTTCCCCGCCCCTGCCATGGGGCTCTAGGGTCCCCTGGGGGCAGCTTCTCATCCTGGGTCCAGGTGAATGAGATCTGTTTCATCCTGGCTTCAGTCATATTTCAGAGGCTGTTAGCTTTTCCCAGGGTCCACTTCAGAACCAGAATCCTGGGCTGACTGGAGGTGTTTGTCCAAGTGGGTGGGTACTCCTGTCCCCAGGTCCTGAGTCACGTTATTCAGCCACAAGCATCTCATAAATCGCATAGCAATCGGGAGGGAGACCTTGGGTCCTGCTGGTCACAGCTTTATGCCTGGCTTCAGGCTGCCATTTTGCTCCTCTGCTCCCTTCCCACCACCCCCATCCTCTTTCAGACTCCCAGTTATGCTCCCTGGGGCTGTTAGAGAGAACTCCTGCTGCTTCCCAGCTAAGCTCCCAGTGTTCCCCCTCCACCCTTAGAACACATTTCCATGGGCACCTGGGTGGCTTAGTAGGTTGAGCATCTGACTTTGGCTCCAGTCATGATCTTACGATTTGTGAGTTCAATACCTACATCAGGCTCTGTGCCGACAGCTCAGAGCCTGGAGCCTGCTTTGGATTCTGTGTCTCCCTCTCTGTCCCTCCCCCACTCACTCAGTCTCTCAAAAATGAATAAACATTTTTTAAAAATTAAATAAATAAACACATTTCATTGTGGTTTGCATGCTCTGCTCCTCCCACCTCTCTCCCCTGTCCTCTGAAGGTGCCCCCACTCCCACCCCATTTCACATTTCAGCCTTTCATAGGCTGAAACACTTAAAAAACACTAAGCCCACTCCACCTAGAGGCTTTTGCATATGTTATTCCCCAAGCCAGAAATGCCGTTCCTGAACCCTGGATCTAGAGCAGCCCTCCTTCCCATCTGTGGTGTCCTCTGCCATCTCCTGGAGAGCTCTGTTCCAGGGACTACGAGTGTCTCATATACAGTAGGTGCTCAGTAAATGCTTGTGGAACGAAAATATCATGTTGCATGATTTATCCAAGGCCAGCAACTGCTAGAGCTGCACCCAGGGAAAGAGTGTTCTGGGGAGACATCAGGGCAGGGAATCTGGCTTTTCAGGAGTTGGGACGCAAAGGAGCTCTGTTGGAGGTAAGAGGTGGCACTGACGTCCTGCTGCCAGCATCAGGTGTCAGCAGAAGGCCACAGCGACCTGAAAGCAGAGCCATACGCAGGAGGCTGAGCCATCCCCAGGACCCACACAGCAGCTGAGGAGAAGGGCACTCTTGGGGCAGCCTGGGGAGTGCAAGTCCCCATCGGAGTCTCCACAGCGGGCTCCCCAGGGACCTCCAGGATTACCAGGAGGGGCTTGAGAGGGAAAGGGGGTTTTGCTGAGGGGTAACATACAGCCTAGCACTGTTTTTGGGGGTGGCTTTTGGTCACCATGACAGTGCTGGTGGATTGTGATGGCTGCCTGGAGCTGAATGTTGACCACAGAATTGTGAGCTACATTTCAGAAGGAAATGGCAGGAAATCAGCACTGCTGAGCAGAGGCTGGGAGTGTGAGGCATGCACATTCCCACCTCTGCTGGGTACTGCAGGGAGCTGAGCCAGGCCCAGGCGAGAGGGGGTAGAGATGGCCACAACCATGTGACTCTCTCTCTCTCACACACACACACACACACACACTCGCACACACAGACACACACTCACACACACACACTCATACAAGCCATTGCCCTCTATCTTGCCTGCCCTGGAGAGTGCAGGCGGCACCGCCACAGCACCTTCAGGGCCCCCGGTATAGACCGTGTGCCTTAAGTAAGGCACAGGGCAGAGCCAAGGCCCAGCTCCTCCTGCTGCTTGGCCCATGGCATCCAGCCAGCCCTCCCAGCACAAAGCCTCCCACAACACTCACGTCCTTAGGCAGCGGGCTCCAGGCCTGGGAGATGGTCCTGACGGAAACCCCAGCTGCAAACAGGTCTGGGCAACAGAGGGCAGGGGCTGGCAGGGGCCTGAGCGGTCATTTTACCAGATCAGCATGAAGACTGAACCTCCTCAGAAATAGGTTTACTCATTTACCCAGAGTATATTGACTTGGGGACTAAAACTGGGAGGGCCTGTGGGGAAATGCAGCTCCTTAATGGCCCCAGCGACCAGACCTGGCAGTCCCCTAGGTGGCTAGGTCGTTAGAATTGCCTGAAGCAGTTAGCTCGAGGGTCCGTGGGTACCACATGTAACCTTCTCCATCAGAGTCTCTGAGGTGGGGCCTGCCATTCTAAGAAGATTCTCAGGCAATTCTGTTTTAGGGTTCTAAGAGCTTGCAGGGGAAAACATCGAGAAAACCATTAGGACTTGGCTTCTGGAGCTGAACAGACCTGGTGCCTTGCCAGGTGCCCTCTAGGGCTGAGTATACTACAGCCGGTTAGGCACTGAAATTTCAGCACGTGCGGGGAAGTTGTGATATGCTGGTAACAGAGTAAAAGCAAGCTATAGAACAGCAGGTAGAGCGTAATCCTACTTCATTCAAAGACATTACAAATCAGGGCGCCTGGGAGGCTCAGTCAGTTGAGCATCTGACTTCAGCTCAGGTCATGATCTTGCCTTTCATCCACCCAGAGCCCGTTTCAGATCCTCTGTTCCCCCCACTCTCTGCCCCTCCCCTGCTCACACTCTTTCTCTCAAAAATAAACATTTTTTAAAAAGTTTTTTAAAAAAGATAAAAGCATGTGTGTGCATACGTGCCCCTGTATGTGCGTGCTGTAAATTTGCATGGACGACATGGAGAGCCGGCAGAGAGGGCCAGGTAGACTCTCCGTCTGTACCGTGCAGATTTCTCTTTTGTAGGGATTTAGTGCCAGTGAACATGGGCGACTTTGCTAATCCAAGAAAAGCGAACCAAAATTCTACCTTGAAAAAAATGCTGTTGAGGTCAGAGGATGCCTTTTCATGAAGACACACTTTCTCATGATTTCCCATGATTATGTAAAGTTGCCCCTGTGTTTCATAAGGCAGGCTGCTGCCCTGGCTGTTTGGGGGTTGGGAGCACACCTCCAGGCAGTGGGTGCTCACCCTCCTGTCCTTGCTTTGCTCCCCGCGTGCAGCTCGGGGCAGAGCTGCCTTGATGTGCTCCTGCACATCCGCTGAGCAGGCACTGATGAGGCGTGAACAGTCCCAAGCAGCTGCATTCCTGAGTGACAGGGCTGGGCATCGCTTTGGCAGCTCTGGGCCCATGTGTGTGCTCCAGGGGCACGCCTGGGCTGGCACTGGCATTGGGCTTGCATCGGAGCCAGCATCCGAGTCTGGGGCCTCCAGATACTTCCCTGGACTCCTAGCCAGGGCTGCAGCCTGCAGGGGCCTGGGATAATTCCTATGTGAGCATGCTTGCCGAGGTCAGGTAGAGGACCCACTGTGGGCATTTTCTAGAGGCTTGTAGATTGATTAAGTTTTCATAAAGCCATCTTTCCTCTCAACGCCCCAAATTTCCTTCTGGAGGTCATGTTTGGGAAAATGCTTCTTTTGATAATGTTGCCCCCAGGAAGGTGAGATCACATAAGGTTCAACTCATGAAAACTCTGATTTTTTTTTAGTTGACTTTTGTTTTTGTTTTTTCTTTTTTATTAAAATTTTTTTAAATGTTTTATTTATTTCTGAGAGAGAGAGAGACAGGGTGAGCAGGGGAGGCTCAGAGAGAGAGAAGGAGATACAGAGTCTGAAGCAGCCTCCAGGCTGAGCTAGCTGTCAGCACAGAGCCTGACGTGGGGCTCGAACCCACAAACCATGAGATCATGACCTGAGCCAAAGTTGGACGCTTAACCGACTGAGCCACCCAGGCACCCCTGTTTTTCTTT